AAGAAAAAAAAAAATTCAAAAAAAAAAACCCCTACACACACACACACACACACACACACACACACACACACACACACACACACACGGGGCGGGGCATAAATGTCTGTTATTTTAGGCCTAAAATTATCTAAAAGCATTAAATATATTCTGTTCTGAAAACTGTATATATTACTTTGGATTTCTTTCCTTCTTTTTTTTTTTTAATCATATTACTTTCTTTAGCCACAACTTTCAGAACTGCTAAACTCCAACTTATTCACTTGAAATTTGATTACATATAAGTGCAATGCAGTTACTGACAAATCTTAATTTTTCCAATAGCTGAGTTGCTTGACATTCATGCCAACCTTTAGTTTCTGTTTTGTAAAGATAAAACCTATTGTAGTCAGATCTGAAGAAAAATTTCCTATACTGTTGGTTCTGCCAAAGAAACATCGCCCTCTTTTGGCTTAAAGAGTTAAGACACTTAGCAGTGCTTTCTGCTGGATTTTCCAATGTTGTTTTCTAATTCTGAGTCAGAGCATTTGGCTCTGAACTTGTGAGAATAAGCATTTCTCCCATAGTGAATGCACACAGCATTCTTTTTCGTTAACTTGCAGATGAAAGTCAGAGTTAAAATGCAAAATGACTTTTGGAAACTGGTATGTTGTTTTAAACTCCTGAGGCCTTTCTTTCTTTTCAATGTGGAAACAAAGTATTTTTCCATTCGTTCCTGAATGGAAAATATTATACACTTTTTAGTAATCAGGGGAGGAGATGAGTATTATGAATTTTCATATTTTTCTCGAGTTCTTTTGTTTCAAATCCTATTCCTGTGCAGGCTTACACAGGATTAAAGAGTTTGAATGCAAAGTTTGAACCATTGTTTTTATACTCCATCCCCCAGACTTGCTTGTGGCTATGAAAATATACATTATATGCCATCTTGTAGCTTCTGTTCAGTTTGACTGATGCTCTTGACTTCAGAGAATAAATAGAAAAAAGAGATAGGTGGACAAGGATTGATTAGTAATCTTTCTTCTAAGGGAAACAATAAACCTTCTAGATAAATCACTAGCTCAAAGGCCTGAGAAACGCATTGTTTCTCTCTCTCTCTCTCTCTCTCTCTCTCTCTCTCTCTCTCTGTGTGTGTGTGTGTGTGTGTGTGCATGATAACTTTTTCTAGAAGTTCACAAAGTCTCTATCTGGTCTATTTTTACTATTTATGAATTTTTATGTAGGAATAGGCTTATAGATTTTAATACACTAAAAGATGATTACTTGCTTTCTCTTTTTAAAGGGATTTTAAAATTATTATTTTTTAATTTTATGTATATGAAGTGTGTAAATACACCCCTGTCCTGCAATGCCTTCAGGGGTCAGAAAAGAACGCTGGGTTCCCCTGGAATTGGAGTTACAGATGGTTTTTGGCTACCATGTGGGTGCTGGGAACTGAACCCAGGTCCTCTACGAGAGCAGCTAGTGCTCTTAACTGCTGGACCATCTTTGCAGCCACTAAAGGGATTTTTAAAGTAAAATAAAACAGGCCAGTATTATTGCCAATGGATTTATAATATGCATATCATAAGTACTATTACATTGTCATTCGTAGCCTTTAATTGTAAGAGTATAAGAACTCATTTAAGTCCACTTGATCTCTTGAAATTTTAAGCTATCATAGCTGAAAACTTATTTGGGTATTTTATAGTATTTATTGATTGTGTGTCTGGTAGCATTCTGAACTCTTGATATACAAATGCCTTTCCAAGTGCAGTGCGATTGTATCCTGATAAACCCATAGTAAGTTGAAAATGTAAGTTGAGGATGTATCTAACATCTGTAAGTAGCTAAATGTCATGGACTAGCTGCATGGTGCATGGTGGAGTATGGACTGTCAACCCCTGTGATCATGTAGCTGATCATGTACCTGTATCACACATCTACAGTGATGGAAAAGTCATCAGAATTCAGAGTATTACCTCAGCTGAACACGTTACTCTTTTATCACTGTAAATTCAAAAACTCAAAATTTTAGTGTATTAATTCATTTAACTCTGACACTAACTCTAACAAGAAGTACTATTGCCATCCCCACACTCTGTATAAAGGAAACTGAAGTGCGAGAAAGCTCAGCACATTGTCCCATAAGAATCTTCACATGCGGAGGATAAAGTTACTAGAAATGGGGGTGCCACCCTCCTCCCCAGGCCTTCTTGGTGGAGATGCTGCGTCTTCACCTCCCTCGTCCGTGTTGCTGTGCTGGGCTGTTTACCTCTAATGGTTGTGACTCCACTCAGGAGCCCTCCAGACTTGGGATCTGCTGCTGCCGTTCCAGTTCTATGCCAGCAAGATCTGGAGTCTTCCACCTATTCGCTTGAAGGCAGTGCGCATGCTTGCTGGTGTCCAGGCTGATGTGGGTCTAGCTAGTGCTCTAGTGCAGGCATCCCTCTTACTTTGTTTTTAATGTTTATGTTTTCGGGAGTTCAGGATAGAACCCAGACAAGCACTCTACATCTGACCTACATCAGCAATCCCTCTGCAGCTTATGTTCTGAGACACATCCTCTCTCAGAACCTGGAGCTCACTGGTTTGGCTAGGCTGGCTGACCAGAGAGCTCCACGAATGCACTTTCTTCCCTCCGCTCCCACAGCACCGAGGTTACAGGTGCGTGCTGCCGCACCTGGCTTTGTGTGTGGGTGCTGGTGATCTGACCTCAGGTCTTCTTGATTGTGTAGCAAGCGCTTTGCCACCCGACCTGTCTCCACAGCCCTGTAAACTTCCGATTTATCGACTCCCGGTATGTTTCTCCTCCTGATATAATTCCTCTAAGATTCTGATCGCCCAGGTCAGGGTTTGGTTTTATGGGTTTCTATGGTACTAATCTTTAATCTTTTCCTGCCTCATTCCAAAAATCATTCAAGATGGGGTTTTAGTACCAATCTAAGAAACTCCTTTGTTATAATTGGCTTTTGAAATTTGACCAAGGAGCTTATCCAATAATATGTATGCTAAAACCATAACTTCTCAAGAGTGGATATATGCAGCTTTTTGAAACACAACTATTAGAACAATTTGCACACTTCTGTTCAGATGGTGACTCCATAAATGTGGAATTGTAGTGAATGATTTTATGGTAATAGTAGGGGGAAAGGATGGTCTTGTGAATACATATGCACTCTGGAGGAGGGAGGCAGTGGGGCAGGGCCGACTACATCAGTGGGCTGAGGAGAAAGATGAAATCAGAGTGGGCATGCTGTATAGGAACCATGCCATGTCTGTCTGGGTGGCCACAAGCGCCCTAGTGGTTACAAAGCACAAACAGAGATATGAGTAGAGGCAGGTCTGTGACTGCTATTAACTGGGGTCCTGGGGGTGAAGGTTAATAGGTGATGCTAAGATAGCAGCAGTGTAGAAAGTAGAGGACCCTGTGGGATGACGACCAGGAAGGAAGGAGAGCAGTGGTCCCTAGTAGCTGGCAGCTGTGATTGAGGAGGTCAGCAGGAGATGCAGGCAGGGAAGGAGGAGGGGAGTTGCTGGGATCCAACAACCTTGGCAGCAGCCTTTTGTATGGGGAAAGTTCTGTGTTGTGCACAGACAGCTACTGACTAATGATGGAATTGCATCTAGCCAAGGGGAGCTTGGGTCTGGTCAAAGAATGGAGTAATGAAGTTGGCTTAGCTTGCCAGGGAATGAGATCATAGTTAACATAATGCTGCACAAACAGGAGTCAGAGGGTGCACCAGAAACTGAATTCACCCTCTCCTCTGCACTTACTGCCTGTTCCGACCAGTCTGCAGCTGAGGCGTCTATCCCCCGAGAAAGCCCGAGACACACTGGTTGGTTTCTTTGGCACCTCTTAGATTTAAAACAAAACAAAAAAACTAAAAACTTTTCAATAGCTTAGGCCTATAACCACAGCCTCAGTTTGTCAGTTATTGTCTGGTCTAGTCCAGCATAGTCAACCATATCTCATTCATTCTGAGGTTGTTTGTCCCTCTCACAGCTCTGCTGGCTGCAGATGCACACAGCCTGTGGGCACTGAGAGCTGTGTGGTGAGTGTCATCCCTTATTTTCTAGACATGTACCTCTTTCTTACTACTCATCAGACATTTCTGGCCTCTTCAGTGTGGCTAAGGAGGCAGGGAGGAGAGAAGGCAGAAAGACTATCCAGGATGAATGTCCATTTACCATCATAGATGGTGGACTTGACTCATGGGTACATTCACAGGCTGTTTGGGAAGTCTTCTGCTTTCTGTCTCTGTGTGTCTCTCTCTCCCATGTTTCCTTGGACATGGAGCAGAGGCAAGAGATTCTCCTCTTTCTTCATAATGGCATGCTGTATAGCTTTCCATGGCCATTGGTCCAGTGTGTTCTGACTGAGGTGCGGGGCACAGTGACTTTGCAGTACTTGTGGGCTGTCTAGGTAGAAACGCTTCTAGTGCTGACGAGGGAGGTGACAGCAGGAAACGTAGATGAAGGAACAAGAGTTGCATGGACTGTGGCTGAAGTCAAGCAAGTGGACACAGTTGCCCAGAAGAGACGGTGGACCTCGTAGAGATACATGGTTGAGAGGAGGGGGAGAGAAGTTGCTGGATAACGGATGTATTGGAGTGTTTTCCTGGGAGTCAGCCCAGAACCATGTCTATTAATATGTATATTATTTACCCAGAATTCGGAACTTGAATACATTTTCCTGTTTATTCTTTACCCAGAATACGAAACTATATGTTTTTACTTCATTGGGCTGTGGGTTTTATACTGTTTTCTTTCTATTTTAAAAATAACTATTGCTTCTACTTTAGAACTTTTAATCTCTGAAGATGAACTCCAACTCTCTCTTTTTTCCAGTTGTCTATGAGCACAGATCAAGACTAGAGAAATCTTTGCAAAAGGAAAGACTTGAACACAAGAAAGCAAAAGAAGGTAAGAAAATGATGTAACTTGTGTCCTGTGCTGTTCTCATACCCTTCTTTGAAGCATCATGTATTTGATTTATGATTTTTTTTTGGTCATTTTGAGACAGGGTCTCCTGGTAGCCCCAGCTGTCCTGGAACTATGTAGACCAGGCTGGCCTTGAACTCACAGAGATCCACCTGCCTCTGCCTCCCGAGTGCTGGGATTAAAGGCGTGCGCCACCACACTCAGCTTGATTTATGATTTACTTTTTGGTAAGATATTTCTCAAATAAGTCTTGAAGCCAGGGCTACAGATAGGCAAAAAAAGGATAGGCAAAAAAAGAGAGGTCACTAAATGTGTCAGGTACAGTGCAGATACTTTTTACACTCAATGATGGGACAGTGTCCCCTTTTCTCCTTTGTTGGGGGAAAACCAGGGCTACAGATGGGCAAAAAAAGAGAGGTCACTAAATGTGTCAGGTACAGTGCAGATACTTTTACACTCAATGATGGGACAGTGTCCCCTTTTCTCCTTTGTTGGGGGAACTCAAGTCAGATAACAAGTAGCAGATTTATAAGCTTTACCACCCAGGTTACATTCAAAGGTCCTCACTTCCTTCAACCCAAAGAGAATCCTCTGTTAGAAACTCAAGATTAGATTTAGAGCCTTTCATTTTGTTTCTGCACTCCTGATGTAGTTCATTGGTTTTGTACACCTTATTGCAGAAATAACACATGATTTTCCATCTGATGATTGCATAGGTATATTACCAATACCTCAAACTTCTGTGCTCCGTTGCGGGGTGGGGAAGACATGCCTCATTCAGAACATAAAGACTTCTAATACACACACCAACTCACACCTATAACATAATGTGCTGCTTCCACTACCTGGAGTCTTTTGACTAACACATCTGTTTTTATGATTTCTTAAAATCCTTTCCTGGCACAGCTTTTCAGTTTGAAAATTAACATTTAGCACAAGTTTTAGGCAATGCTATTTCTTTTTATCTGAATTCTTGGCGAAAACATGGGCTCTGACATCCAGTTTTTGACTGGAGATTGCTTGCATTATTTTTAATTTATTCACATTTTGTAATAAATCTTGAAGTTTAATCCTGTGAATCCCTTTGTGGAATCGTACCGTGAGCAGGGAGGACAGTACCATGCAGATGGTCTCCCAGCCCTTGGCTGAAGCAGACATTAGAATTTTTAAAATTCTTTGGGACTTGGATTTCTTCTAGAGCAGAGTGATTTTATAGAGCCATCTAGTGGATAATAAAGTTTTCAGAGCATTGAAGACTACTTGGTGTTTCTTTTCCTTCCCTAAAGGGTTTTAGTGTGCCATCTAGTGGATAGCTATAAATCACTCAAATGTGTCCACAAATAAGTCCCATGTGTTCCCCCGCAGCCCCCCCCCCGCCCATTTCAAAGAATATTCATATAGAGATGTTCAGACACACGTTTAATCACCCAATTTCTATTGCACAATTTTGTCATGTTTTCTAAACTTCAAAAGGCAAAATAAAAGGTATAAATCAACAAATAGATTGGTTTGAACTGAAAAAGCATTTCTGCAAGTCTGAATAAAATTTGACTTTATTCTTTTAGATATTTGAAAGTTTCACAGTGGATTAACATATATTCTATTGTCTCTATTTTTGTCTTTCCCAGATTTTCTGGTTTATAAATTAGAAGCACAAGAAACGCTAAACAAAGGAAGGGTAAGTTTTTATTCTGTTTTCTTCTCTTAATTTGTTTCGTGAGACTTGGAGAAAACAGACATCTTGCTGCAAAAGTTCTTACCCTGTTGGTTTCTAGGATTGTAGGCAGGCACACTTTTTGTTACCAAAAAATTCAAAGATGAAAACTTTAAATATTTCCTATTTAAAACTTATCTTTTCTTGTCACATTGACAATGATTAGTGGTAGATTGGGGAGAGCTTCAATGATTCATACAAGTGAAAGACGTTTGTTTGGTTTAGTTCTGGCTTTCAGAGACAGGGTCTCATAGAGCCCAGACAGGGCTCAAATCACTCTGTAGCAGAGGACAACCTCGAATTCCCAGAGCCTCCTGCCTCTGCTTCCCTAGTGATGGGATTACAGGCATGTGCTGTTGTGCAGTGCTGTGAAGGTTATTTTTATTCAGTCATTTATTTGTTTGTAGCCTCTCTTTTCTATGAAATATACTTTCATTTGTCTTTCCAAATGTAGCAGCCAACATGAGACCCAGCTTAGAGTTGGCATTTTCAAGCATTTGAAGAATGAGTTAAGAACAGATTGATTGATGTTGACATTTTAAAAGATTTTAAACTCAAAATTAGCTTGAGAAAAGCCAGTCTTTCTCTTACACTAAGAAAAATGTGTGCACATTAGTTGACTAAAACATTAGTGTTTGGGGATTTCAAAACTGAGAAAAGTCATTTTTCGGTTTTTAATTGCCTGAGGGTTTCAGCTGACTGCGTTTGTTTTTGAAAGCCCCAACCAAACCTGTGTGTACTCTGCTGTACATTTTGTAATGTAACTTCTTTATAAAGTAAAAAAATCAAAAAGCAAGCAAGCAAAGAATAGAATAATAGAGCAAAAATATACTTTATTTTAGAAGCTATAAAAATATGAAAACCCCAGAGTATACCTGTGTGGGTATACTCAACAGCAGGGGCTGTTGAGTAAAAAAACAGCGTAGCAAAGGGGGAGAGAATGCGCCAGTGGCTTCAGTGCACTGACAGGAAACGGCAGCCCAGGCTGTGGAACAGGAGGCTGAATGTGACAGCTGCTCCCTGGGAGCGCAGGGATTGCCTGAGAACATGGGCCCAGAAGGTGGAGTGCAGCTAGCATCAGCTTGAGCTGATCTCCAGTCCTCACTCTACTACAGACTTTCTCTCTCTGGTGGTAAAATGACTGAATCTATGCCCACTCTCTGAAGTTGAGGGAAGGAGATCACCCTTTCACTTCCCTCGGTTAAGCCATGCTGACTTTGTGAGACCTGCTCTTAGCTGATGTCTGTTTCCCTCCTACCTTTCCTGGGCACTGAACACTGTATTAGTTGTACACAGTGAGTGAGAACTTCATCGCCCTGTCTGGGCCTCTGAGCTTCTTCAGAATATGAGAGACAGAAGTAAATTATCTCTAAAAGCCCATCAACCTATCATTTTATGATTCCACTCCCAGATTTTCATCACTAACATGTAACAACCCATGAGAATGTTAAAACTTCATTTCAGCTATTAAATAAAGACGTGGGTGTTTGGAGGTGTGGCTCAATGGTAGATGATTGCCTAGTGTATGCAAAGCCCTCAGTTCAACCCCCAGTACTGCTAAATAATTAAATAAATAAATGTGAACTAAAGAGATGGCCCTGGAGCCATGCTGGTTCAAACAGAATTTAATTTACTTTCCAAAAGTGAAAATGAAAATCTTTTATTAGGTGATTAAACCCGTCTAAGCAAAATAACCGGTCCCATTGGCTATCTTTTGTTGATCTTTTTTTTTTAAATTTATTTACAGCAAGATTCTAATAGCAGATACAGTGCATTGAACGTCCAACATCAGATGTTGAAAGTGAGTAGCCTAATGTTCTATATGTATGCAACAAGGGAGTAGACACTATTTCAACGGATTAATCTTTAAAGTCATAAAAGAAAATTTGTAGAAGATTGACTTGTGTTACAAATAGTATATAAAGTCATAGTTGGCTGAAGATTGCTTGTAATTGTAAGGACCTAACATGATTTTACCTTTTAAAAAAGAGTATAGTTGGGGCTGGAGAGATGGCTCAGCGGTTAAGAACACTGGTTGTTCTTGCAGAAGACCCGGCCGGGCTCGAATCCCAGCACCCACATGGCAACTAACAACTGTCCATAACTCCAGTGACAGGGGACCCCACAGTGTCTTCTGTCCTCCACGGGCATTGCACAACACGGTGCTCTCACATACATGCAGGCAATACACACATACCCATAAAATAAAAATATTTTTTTTAAAGTTTAAGAAAAAGCATAGTCAGTGCACTATCCTTCAGACTAAGAATTATTTCTTAATTTGGTTCTCCTTGGTATCGTTAAAGTCTTTTGTTTGCTTGCACAGTGGTTTTCTTTAGGCTTTTTCTTTTATCTTAGACACACTGGAGTCAGTAGAACTTGTAAAATGCTTCCTCATTTGCTACTGATGTTTAATAAATGTACTTTTACCTAGCATAGGAACATAATGTATTATTTAAAGGTCCTCCTTCTTTGGACCTTGGGTAAAACTCATTATGATGTGTCGGAAAGGCAAGAGCACGCAAAGCAAAATTTAGAAGAGAATCATTGTTTATATCAAGCTTGGAGAGAGGAGTAGCAGACCGTTCTGCTCATGTGCAAATCCTGCCACAGTCTCTACCCCACCCTGTCCCCATCCATTAGTTTAATGTTTTGTTACTGTTCATATCAGTTGCTTACACACTTTCTATTGAAAGTAAAGATTTTTCTGTCTTCAGGAGTGTAGTGTGTGACTTAAAGTAGTCCATCCTTCTGCATTAAGGATTTAAGACTATAGAATTTTGCTTAGTTTTAATTACAGTGTAGAATGTTAATAAAGATCAAATAAAAAAGAATTAATTCTAAAAGCAATTACTTTCCCCAAAGGAAAGACAGGTTCTCTCTCTCTC